GGAAAGCTTTTGAGAATTTGAAAATTCACTCACAGGTTCTGCGTCAGCTGCAGCAAACATGAATTTGCAACTATAGTAAGAAAAGACATTGAATGACTGTGAAAATAAATAGGACTTCCATGAGAACTATTTCCTCGGATAAACAAGTGAACAATTGCCTTTCACATGGTTTGTCCGTCTAATCTAACCTAATAATCAACCACGAAGAGAATCCTGAACCAGCTGAAACACATCAGAAGAAAGTAAATGAGAAAATTGTGCTACCAGTAGCAAAAAAGTAGATAACGACATGACATGGCCAACTAACATATCCACACATGAGAGATTACATAAATCATTTTTTCACAGAAAATCATATTGTACCAACAATTGGAGTTATGATTCTTTACAATGTAAACACACTGAAACCCTTATACAACATAAGTTATTTGTGATCTCAAGTTATTCGACATAATATCTACAACTTAACAAAATAAAGAACTGAAATAAGAAATTTCAGCATCGGAAATTTAAGCACGGACAATTTTCCCTTTTTGAGGTTACAGTCACAAAGATGTCTCAGAAAAATGATATATATAGACACATTCAAAATTATGTGATGTTTGTCACCTCAATCTATTATAAGACTTTGTGGTGTTCATCAATTTTGTGCGTAGAAGATGGGGTCTTCGTCCAATCTATGGTTACAAGCTAGACGTTTCAAAAACTGCATTACCTTTAAAGTATATCTAGCGTCGGACTGTCCTTGAAGGTTACGTCATAAGCTTTTCGGAGGGGCTTGCTGCATCATGAAGAAAGCGAGAATACATTCAGTCCTTGCAAACGGGAAAGCTATGATACTGAAAAAGTGTTCACAAGACTATAAAAAACCCTCGTCAAACTAAGTGTAAACCAACAGTCTAAAAAAGAGCAAAACAAACATAATGTTTTTTCTAGGTGGCTCAGTTGATAAATTTCGCCATCAAGTAATTCACAAAGAAACCTCCTAGATAAGACACTGAAAAGCAACTTAAGATACTACAATTATTTAAAAAATAAATAAATAGAAAGTACAACAAGGACGTAAATTCATCTGTGAGAACCAAAATAAAAGTAAAGAAAACTGTGTACCTAGAGAAGAAGGAATATAGAAGAATAACAGCAAGCTTATAGAGAAAGCCACACAGTACTGTCAAATAATGCCCCATAATGGCAGCATGTTCGAGAGAAAAAGAGGCAGTAGCTATCAAATAATGCCCCATTCTAATTTTAATTTGGTTTAATAGTCATGTCCTTGCATCAAATATTAAATATTGAGATTTATATAATATAAACTCTTAGATAAGAAGTCAAATCTCACCACTGCATACGAAGTCATGTCAATCGTGATTTGCTTCATAGAGATTTCGAGCAATTGACATGAAGGTTTGTTGCTACTACTTATTTGGTTCTGATAAAAGCAGGAAGAAGTAATATAAGAACTGTATGGTGTATAGCAGCATCCTAACTCTGGAGTTTTGCAGGCACAAATTTACGTGATGAGAAGTTTTAAACAAAAGGTACATCCAAGATAACTCCAGATTTTACATAACTGAAAAGAGCTAAATTTTGATATTTTTGTAAGCAAAATGGAGACAAACATTTGCGAGTCCCCTAGGAGGGAGTATTGGAGCTAGACCGGTCAATAACAACAGAGTTTACTCCCAATATAACACTTTTTGGCGCTAAGACGAATTTAATCAGGTCCCTATACAAATATCAAATAGTGAGCAAGAAATCGAAAATGAAGGATTAAAGAAAATCATTTGTAGTAATTGAAAAGTCATATCGTAATTGAACCTACGGGCACTGTAACATGTTTGGTAGTTGTTATGCATGTGTCATGTTCAAATAAATAATTTGCTTGTGAGACAATGCCTCACATGCGAACTATATGGTCCATCTCAAAATTTTTGTGGTGTAAATAAAGATTCATAAAAGAAATAACTTCGACTAAAGGCGCATACAATGAGAAAATTTTTTGTAATAAAGTAACTCGCAAGAACCTTAAAGCATATATACCTTATTGATTTTGGAAGATCCAATATATGTTGCTTCAATAATCATCCTTCATTTTAAAATTGCAAAGTATAGATAGACAGTGAACCCTCCTCCTTTTTCCGGGCTTGGAACCGACTGTGGTGCAGTAGTATAACTGAAACATAGGTGGAATCATCTTGCATTTTAAAATTGCAAAGTATAGATAGACAGTGAACCCTCCTCTTTCTTCCGGGCTTGGGACCGGCTGTGGTGCAGTAGTGTAACTGAAACACAAGCGGAGTTAAAAACTTGCTTTTTTCATTGTTGAGCTAAAGATCATTAGGTTTCTTACGAGAAAGCTTTCTGAATAATTTCGTCATAAACCACATTATATGTTGAATGGTCATCATTACTGTCTGTTGTAGATGGGTGAATCAGTATTTTAACACAGTTTGAACTTTTCGCTCTTGATAAAGCAACATAAAGTTGACCATGAGAAAAAACAGGTTCATGTAAGTAAATTCCAACAAAATCTAATGTTTGACCTTGAGCTTTGTTTATGGCCATAGCAAAGCACAAGCGTAGGGGAAATTGTGTTCTCTTAAATTGAAGAGGTATTTTTTCATCTTGTGATGTTAACAATGGTATTCTCGGAATAAATACATATGTACTTTTGAAATCACCACTTTCAATTTTAGCACTTATGACATGTGTTCTAAAGTCACAGCATGTTAACCGTGTGCCGTTGCATAAACCTTCACAAGGATTTAGAGTTAACTTATAAGGCGGTAAACCAGGAGGATCTAAACTATGTAGAAAATCTTCAAACTGGCTTTGATCATTCGGTTCAATAGTTTCATCTATTGCAACAAATGTTTTAGACCTTTCTGGGAATTTAGTGATTAACATATTATTTATTTCGGTTACAAAGTCATTCTTCGTTGTTAAAATAACACGAGAGGCTATCATGGATGAATCGGGAGAAAATGCATGCAAATCAGGATACGTTACACTAAACAGTGCATCTAAAGATTTTGCTTCAGTCGTAAAAGGAATAACAAAAGAATCAGGAATCTCTATTTTGTCTTCACATTTAGTTCTTTCTGTTCCATTTCCAATTTGAAGTAAATATTCACAAAAAGAAGGATATATTCTTGCGCGCATATTTTTAGATAGGTATAATTTCTCAAGTTTATTCCAGATTTCAGAATACAATAAGCTTTCATGAATAAAATCTTTTTTTTTCATTTTGAACAACTGGTAGAGTTTGTCTAAAGTCACCTCTAAATACAACTACTTTACCACCAAACATTGTATCGATGTCTATAATATCTCTCAAAAGTGCATCAAGAGCTTCAATCATATTCTTTTTTTGCCATTGATGCTTCATCCCATACAATTAATTTTGCATCTCTAATTAGACGTGCGAGTGAACTTTGTTTATTAATGTTGCAGCGAAAATTATCATTTATATCAATAGGCATTTTGAACCGTGAATGAGCAGTTCATCCTCTTGGAAGGATAAAAGCTTCCATACCAGAAGTTACAGTTGCTAAAGCTATAAATCGTTGAGATCGGATAGTTGCCAATAATGCACGATATAAAAAAGTTTTACTTGTTCCTCCAGGACCATCGATGAAGAAAGCTCCTTGTTTTCCAGAAAATACTCTGTCAATTATTATATTATATGCGCGTAATTGTTGAACATTCAATCTTTTCGGTAAGAGCAAGTCTTGTTCACTAACAATTATATTTCTTTCAAAATGAACATCCTTTGCATCCTTTGTAGTTTGAGAAGCTCTAATCTTCTCTAGAATAAGCTTATACTCATTTATGTCGTGTCCCATAGAGTGTAAGATATCATTGATATGGCTTAAAACCTTGTGCCGAACAACTTTAAAATCAGAGAAATGTTTAAAGTCTTCGGACATTGAATCTTGAAACATTTCCCATAATATTTTTGGATTAGTAAGATTACAATATACTAACAGTGTGGCAAATAAACATCTCAAGCTATATGACATTTGATAACTTACAGCCTCCGACAGACATTCAATTAGACTATTGTTACAGTATAATAATCCTCTTTTTCTGCTGATTCTCTAAATGTACTACAAGGCACCTCGTTAACAGTGCGAAGATCTTCATATGATTTAGGTCCTCTCATGTTCATTAATAATAACCTGAGATAATACATCTCTCCTTCTGTTGGGTGGCATGTTACAACACGTCCGATTACGTTACGTTTTTGCTGACATGTCCACGTTCTATATCCTGGAGACCATACAAAATGTTCCGGAAATTCCTTATACAATAATTGCATAGCTATAGCATGTTCATCAGTTGCATTCATAGCAAAAAATTCAGTCAACATAGTTTTTCTAATCATCGGATTATTGAGAATTCTATTAACAGTTTCACTACTTTTAAAAGAAACAAATTGTTGCCCTTCTAAATGTAATTGAAGATGAAAAACACTCTGAGTCATTTCACTAATAGGAAAACCAAATTACCGCCATGCCGCTTCAGGGGGTGTTACCCATCTAGCAGATCGATATTCTTTTATTTCATCTATTTCTTCATTGTTATGTATAGAAAAAACAGTTTTATCATGTCATTTGCAAATGTATTTGTAAATATATTTTAAACTTTAATATCAGAACAAACTTCAATATTCATATGACAATCAAACTTACGAAGTAAGTAAGGGTTGTATGGGACAACCCATGAATTGTCCAAATATTATTCCCTTATATGTACAAGTTCGCATGTGTTTCGTCTTCTATAAATTGGATAAGAATTCTTTCCTTTTGATGTTTGCTCAGCAAAATCTTTTGGATAATCAAATTGACAAAACCCTCTTTTCCCCATACATGAATTTGTAGGATTTAAATCACCACACGGTCCTTGCATCATATGTTGAAGCACGCGTGAATAAAGGTGCTTATTGGTATTACGATCAGGCAACTCAGCGCAAACAAACTTATCATAAGATTCAGGTGTTAATAATTTGTATTCATCACTAAGTATGATAAGAAAATGAGCATGCATAAGACCACGTTTTAAAATTCTATAGTATACATAAAAGCAACAACTTTTCCAATGATTTTTCTTTTCAAGATATCTGCTTTTAATTCTTCTACTTTTGCTCTGAATACTCGTGATACTACATCAGGTCTATTTTGAGTTCATCCGTTGATAACAAGTGTTGTTTATTTCTGGCCAAGACGGATTGCATGTCATAGTTAAAAGAATATCAGGTTTTTCAAAACGTTGCACTAATGCAATAGCATCCATATATCGTTGACGCATATCTCTTGGCCCTCCTATAAAAGTAACAGGGAGGAATGTTTTCTTGCCAATCTTGGAAGCTTCCTTTTCACCAAGTCTTAAAAAATCAATAAGTCCTTGTAGCACATCTATTCGAAACAAATCTTGATTAAAAAAATAAAAATCTAATATTTGTGTTTCTAGCCTTATGAACACATCTACTATGAATTGTTGAAATAATCTTCTACAATGTAAGACTTCATTTTTTCATCCTCTCTTATCTGGAATTTGTAACAATAATACTCACGGCAAGAAACCGTCTCTCTTTTTCGTTTTACTTTTTCCATAGTCTGAGCTTCCATATCAAGAAATCCATCAATGGAACACATGTTATTTACACTTGGTAATTCTTCATATTTACAATAACGCTGATCTCTTCGTGCGATCTTTTTAATACTACAATGCCATCCATTTTGACCGTATGAAAATAATAACGGGTATTGTAATGGGTCATAACATCCATAATAATACTTTACTGACTGAGTCTTGTCACTACATGTGTATATACGAATATGAGGTGTAGAAATAGTATCGGCAACATTATCATGTACCCATATTCCAGCCACCTATGTTGTATTTGGTAGATTATATACACGTTGATCTAACTTTGGTTCACATTTAAGCGCGATATAATAATCAAATAGTATCGGAACATTTGTCAAAGATTCTTAAAAAATGAAATATGAATTAATTGAGAGCACATGCATAAGTTTCTTTATAATTGATTCATTGATATTACTTGAACAAGCCATTCTATTAGCCAATTCATTTTCCTTATCGTAAAAGTATAACTGCATATTCTTCCTTTTTTATCAGAAGGAAGTAAATCAGGTATAAAATGATACATTTGTCCCTGAACTCGAAACGTATATATACCATAATATCTCCTTGCCAAATCTTTATTATTGGTTACACCAAGTGAAGTAAAGGCAAACATATTATTGTATGTTCTAATGTAGGTTCGAAAGGGCTTAGCTTCTGCAGTGTTGCCTTTATACAAATCTGATAATTCATTAGGCAGCTCATACGAAACTAACTTAACTCACCCGCTGCCATAACAAAATCCAGGAGATTCATATTGAAACCTTTTTGCATTGCAAAATTTACAATTTGGAACATGTTTTAATTGTGCATAATCCGCATCTTTGTCATTATTTTTCTTATGGATTACTTTGGTCAAGGTATGACCTGTATGTTATAAGTATTTTTTAAAAAAAGACATGAAAAATATTCTACTAATGAATAGTGTTACTCTAGCGTAAAAGAAATACTAACCTTTGCTTGTGGTAGTAGGGAACACATTTTGTTGTCCCTTAGATGTGCGCGATGTTGATCCTAGGCACACATTGTCACAATTTAGATGTACACCTAAGCCGTGACGTACTAACAAAGATGTTCATAGACGTTCTAGCTTTACCTCTTTCAAATACAGAAAACGCATGAGCAGCATTTTTTCCTTTATCAAAAGAACTTGAGGAAGTATTAACACATGGATGCTGCCAACTGCGACAAATATGAAAGACATTTTACATTTAATATATTCAAGCAAATGCTTATAAAATAATTACTTAGTAAAATATGAATATTTATCTGTCTGCTGCTACATTAACATAACGTAAATAAAAAGTAATAATTCAGTCTAACCTTCATCGTCAGCGGAAGAAGCCTCTCTTATGATAAGAGCATTATGTTTTCGAATCATAGGGTGACGTTGATACATTACTCTTTCATCTGGATCAACTGCCGATTTTATGGAACTATTCCATTTTTGTCACTCAAGTTCTTTGGTGCGGTGTTGTAGTAACATTGCCTCTTTTTTATCAGACAATATTTGCCCATAGATATCACGTCTTCTGACATTCTTGTCAGAGTTTGTATGTTCTGCATATGGCCGTTTGTTTCTTTGGACGGAAGATATTTTTTTCACAATTTTATTACCACAAGATGACTGCATTTATATCATTCAAATCAGAAAAGGCGTCAGCGGACCCTAAGTAACAAATTTTGTTGTTCATTCTAGTGGTAAATAATAGAAATATAACAATCTATTGGGGTTCAGTCTTCTAAAGACCAATTCTTTTAAAGAAAGTAGATAGCAGCAAAATAAAAAAAACTAAAGAGAACTTAGAATTCACATAAGAAATCCAAAATAAACAAATTAATAAAAATAGAGAACAAATCAACACCCAACCTTAGTTTGTTTTCACCTTTGAATCTTAAGACTAAACTGAAGAAAAAATTGTTAATCAAGCAAAAACCACAAAGATCTGATCTTTTTGCACAAGAACAAAAAGTAGAACAGAAATGCATAAATAAATTAAAAAAACATACTCTAAGTTGATCGTTTGAAGATGTGATCTATTTGCAACTTCTTCTCTTATGCTGCTGAGGAAATATGAAGCAAAGTAAATAAAAAGAATAGTCGGTACAATAATGGAGTGAGTTTCACCTGAAGTATTATTGACAAAAAATTAAAACCATCGAGAGAAATCGAGAAGCAAAGGAGAAGATACGGAAGTCAATAGAAGTATTGATATTAACAGAAGTACTGATATTCACAGAGCAGAATAAAGCCAGATGAAATCCCATGAAAAGCAATGAGAAATATCTGTAGGTGGATTGTTATATCACAGCTAGCCTACTCAGCAAAGTTTAGCATACTTGTATACGAAAAGGCAAGAGGTAGCAAAATGCTTTTAATTGACATTCCTTGGTAACAAAAGATTATGCAGATTAATATACTTATGCTTATAATCATTCAACAAACAAAGATAACTTGGTGTCGCACTCTCTTAACTTTCTTTGTGCAACTCTGCATTCCAAATATAATTATTTCTTACAAAGGCATAAAAGAAAATCTAACCTGTTGTAGACTATACTTTGAAAACAGCATAAGTAGCACTTGCACTATACTAAGATATCGTTGTGTTTGATCATGTTGAGAATGTATTTCGTCCAAATAAAGCTTAATTATTGAAAACTTAGATATAAAGGTTTGCCCAAAGCAGTGCGTTACCACTAAAGTTGAAAAAATTGTACCAAAAATTAGAAATTCAAACACACTATTTCGATGCAAATACCAAAAAATCTTCAACACACAGAATCTTTAGAACGTAACTATCCCCCCCCCCCCCCCCCGGCACAAAGAATAATTAAAACAATTTCGACATACCAATTTCCAGAATAAATTTTTCGTAAAAATTCTTAAATCCACACCAAATTTCACAATAAATTCCCGTAAAAAATCCTAAAATTCAAAGTAAGAACCGTTGTAAATTTCTCCCCTTTCTTCAGTTCCAACGAAGCAGCAAAAACTCATTTATTCAGAGCATCGACAAGTATGTAAATTTGAAATAGGGAAAGTCAAACAGATTTTTTCTCTAAAATGCAAATTCTTACCAGATGAAGAGCGGAGATGAAGCCTCGTAGTACACAGATCAGGGAAGTAGCAAAATAAAATAAACTAAAGAGAACTTAGAATTCGCATAAGAAATCCAAAATAAACAAATTAACAAAAATAGATAACAAATCAGAACTCAACCTCAGTTTATTTTCACCTTTCTGAAACGAATCTTAAGACTAAACTGAAGAAAAGATTGCTAATCAAGCCAAAACCCCAAAGATCTTATCTTTTTGCAGAAGAACAAAAAGTAGAACAGAAAAGCATATATAAAATAAAAAACCTGCTCTTTATGGTATGCGTGAATCGAAAAAGCTGATTGCTCAAATTGCGTTGAATTATTAGGTGAGATATGCTAGATTTTGGGACAATTGATGTTGTCCTCTTTCCTTTGTTCGTTATTTTTATTTTGGGAGTGAATGCTTTTAACAAGTTCTGAATTGAGTTTTTAGCTTTGATCAATTGGGAGTGCACGCGTTGGCCAACGACAGAAAAGGTAAGCAATAAGGTTGAGCTGTAAATTATTAAAATTACGAAAATAACCCAAGACAAATTAGAAAATTCAAAAGAACAGACATGTTGACGGAGAGGTACCAATGTTCCCTCTTCTAAGCTGAAGAAAAGATTGCTAATCAAGCCAAAACCCCAAAGATCTAATCCTTTTGCAGAAGAACAAAAAGTAGAACAGAAAAGCATAAATAAAAAAAACCTGCTCTTTGTGGTATGCGTTGCTCAAATTCCGTTGAATTATTAGGTGAGATCTACTAGATTTTGGGATAATTGATGTTGTCCTCTTTCCTTTGTTCGTTATTTTTATTTTGGGAGTGGATGCTTCTAACCAGTTCTGAATTGAGTTTTTAGCTTTGATCAATTGGGAGTCCATGCGTTGGCCAACGGCAGAAAAGGTCAGCAATAAGGTTGAGCTGTAAATTACTGAAATTACATAAATACCCCAAGACAAATTAAAAAATTCAAAAGAACAGACACGTTGACGGAGAGGTGCCTGTGTTCCCTCTTCTAATAAGTAGGAATATAGATTACCTTTACTTCTAATAAAGCTTGCAAAGAATATTTTTTTACTTACGATGGAGGAAACAACTGATGTCATGGACAGAATAACAAAGTTGCCTGAGCACATCATATATCTATCATGACCCTAACCCTGAATCTGGTCGTGATGGCGCATCTCATGAAGACAAGGCCAGCCAATTAAACCCAATTCACTTTTTAAAACAGTTAAACAAATATAAAACCAGTTTAATCATAAATTAATGATAATGAGTAGCGGATATACAACCCAACATAGCCCTAACCGGGGTGTCACTAGTCACGAGCATCTACTAGGGTATAAATACAACTGAAAGCCTGGAGTGTACAATTACAGTCTACTGAAATGAAGAGAGAGAAAAGCAGTGCTGCGAACGCCAGCTGCTACGTTGCTAAACTCTGATGACTCTGCCTCCGATCAGCCAAAACCCGCTACCGGGTGTAAAAATACCTGAATCTGCATACAAGGTACATGGAGTAAAGTGAGTACTCCAACTCAGTGAGTAACAAATGTAAATAAATACTAAAGGTAAGAAATCACGTAAAGCATACCAAGATGCTATATAGAAGCAGTTCAAAACCAGTAAGAAAGCAGTGAAGTTGTAAAAATATCTTAAAATATCTTATCTCAATTTAAACTTTTTTGAAAATGGCTTTTTCAACGGTTACGCAAATGAATGCAAAATAGTTAGTGCAGAGAAGCACAGAAATTTGCCCCTCGGGCACAAATACCATAGTTTAATAGGTAAAATGACAGATAAACAAATAAACGTTCGCCCATCGGGCATAATGACAATAATAACGCCCCTCGGGCAATATCTCAGAACAATACCAGCCCCTCGGGCAATCACATAGAACGGTACCAGCCCTTCGGGGAATCACATAGAAATTATTAGCTCATCGGGCTATCACATAGAACGATATCAGCACCTCGGGCTATCTCTCACATCACAATGGGTACCCGTGCTCACTGGGGGTATACAGACTCTGGGAGGGGGCCCTTACGGCCCAAGCGCAATATCAAGCCATCTCGTGGTATCAAACCTAGGCCCTCGGCCTCAATCAGTATCAGTGTTTCCTCACAACTAGGCCATCGGCCTTACTAAGTCAAAAATACTTACAAGCCCCTCGGGTAATAGTAAAACAGTATTTCTCAACCCAAAATATCATTTAAAATATCATTTAAGTCTCAAAATTGAGTAAAATTAGTTGAGTAGTAAAACAGTGGAAAAATAACGGGACTGAGTTCAAGTAATAAGTCAAACAGTGAGGAAATGGTAATAAAAATCCCCGAAGAGTTCAAATAGTTGGCACGAAGCCCAAATATGACAATAATCCCAAAGTATGATGAAAGCAAATAAGCTTCAGTCAAATACGCGGTAAAATCATCAATCGGGACGGACCAAGTCACAATCCCCAATAATGCACGACCCCACGCTCGTCATCAAACATGTGCCTCACCTCAATATAACACTACGATGTACAATCTGGGGGTTCAAACCCTCAAAATATCATTTACAATTATTACTCACCTCGAACCGGCTAAATCTCTAGCTCGCGACGCCATTGTCCCTCAAATCGGCCTCCACGCAAGTCGAATCTATCCAAAATCAGAACGTGGACGTCAAAATATGCTAAGGGAATAAAGCCCAAGCGAAAACAATCAAAATATGACACAATTCCCAAAATTACCCAAACCCGAACCCCATGCCCACGTCTCGAAATCGGGTAAAATTTACATTTTCAGAATCCTCATACTCTCGCGAGTCTAACCATACCAAAATTATCCAATTTCGGTACCATTTGGTCCTTCAAATTATCATTTTATATTTTTGGAAGATTCCACAAATTTTCATCCCAAAATCCATCCTAGATCACGAATTAAATGACGAATTCAATGATAGATTCATGTACTCTAGCCAAATCTGAGTTAGAATCACTTACCCCGATGAATTTCTTGAAAAACCTTCGAAAAATCGCCAAAATACGAGCTCTCTAGGTCAAAATATCAAATAAAACCCAAAACCTCGTATTTATAGAGTACCCCACGGATTTCCACCTCGGCGTACTACACAAAAACGACCGTGGTCCGCACAAAACCAGTGCGGTCTGCACAAAAACGACTGCGGCCGCACAGGTTTTCATCTGCAGTGATAAGCTTTAGTATTCTGGCCATAACTTTCGCTACAGATGTCCAAATGCCTATTATAATATGTCTCTGACAACTATATTCAATGATCTACAGCTTTCGTTATTGAATCATCCCACAATTACTTGTAAATAAAAAGATATGAGCTTCCGAAGTAGGACCAGTGAAATGTTCCCCACCGCGGCCGCACTGCATTTTGTATGGTCCACGCAGCACCTATCGCGGACGCACTTCTTTTTATGCGGTCCGCTCAGCACATACCGCGGACGCACTTCATTTTGTGCGGACCGCGCGGGTGGGTTCCAAGGCCTGCAACTCTTCTGGACCTGCTATAGCTATGATTTTCGTCCTAAAACATCCCGTAACCTACCCGGAACTCTCGGAACTTCAAACCAATTGTACTAACACATCCCATGACATCGTTCAAATTTGTTCAAAACTTCGGAACGCTCACAACAACATCCAATCACCAATTTAACATAGGATTCAAGCCTAAGAACTCCAAAAACTCTTAAATTATGTTTTCGATCAAAAAGTCTATCAAATCTCGTCTGAATGACTTGAAATTTTGCACACACATCCCAAATGACACAACGAAGCTACAGAAACTCTCGGAATTTCATTCCGACCTCTATATCAAAATCTCACCTATCAACTAGAAAACACTGAAATCTCAATTTTACCAATTCAAGCCTAAACCTTCCACGGACTTCCAACATGCATTCCAATCACGCTCCTAAGTCCCAAATCACCTAACGGAGCTAACCAAACCATAAAAATTCCAATCCGAGATCAAATACGAACAAGTCAAATCTTGGTCAAACCTTTCAAATTTTAAGCTTTCAACTGAGACTGTTCTTCCAAATTCATTCTGATTAACCTGAAACCCAACACCAACGATTTACATAAGTCATAATACACCATACGGGGCAAGTCATGCCTGAGAACTGGCTAGCAAAGTGCAAAAGCTCAAAACGACCGGTCGGGTCGTTACATTCTCCCCCACTTAAACACACGTTCGTCCTCGAACGTCCCCTGAGTTGTTCTAGAAGCCAACCAATTGCTGAATAACTTTACCATGCATATACCCGGGGGTGATCCCGTGTCACCCTATCTCATATAGGTCAGATAACATAATGCAACTAAAATTTCACAATCCAACCTAGCCCATAAACCGTAGAACCCCATTTCCACTTCCGAAATCATCCACAAGATCAGAGTCTCACATCTATCTTGAGAATAAGCCCGAACCAGCTGTAATAACCCATACTTGCAACCTCAGGTGCAATTACATGATAAACCACGTAACTCAAACGCTCGTAGTGATAACTTCTATTCACAGTAGCTGCCTACAACAACCGAATACCGGTAGAAAACCTCTTATAAACTAAAGTCTCATTCCAACACTTTCATATACTTCCAACGATAAATGAAACACACAATAAACCATAACCATTTCTCAGATCAACCATTCATGAAGCCAGTTCTCCTTTGGCAAATACCACAGCAAATTTCTGAGCCGAAGCTCGATATTCTCCTTCCAATATGCTGGAATCGAACCCGTTCGTATTCATTAATGATCCCAACGATCTCCTCTAATCCAACACACTGCTCTGGTGACATGACACATCTGTATAGGCCTAAGACACCACTTGCATAATACGCGCACCAATAAGCAATAGTCCGAACATAACTCCAATCATGAAAATAACTCAACTGAAAGAGCTGTACCTCAAGCTCACTAGTACCACCACAACACAAGCCTGAAAACTTGTCTCGCATCGTAGAAACAAAACACACAAATCTAACCCGCAAGGTCATACCTCCACATAACTTCGTTGCGATGCGTGATCCAATCCAACACTGCTCTACATGAACCACCTCAAGTCACTATGCTCGAAATAAACAACCACGCACAATTTGATGTCTAGAACCAAAGCAAATCATCATACCCACGATAGAGCAAATAACCTACATCACACAAACCCGAAAAGGACATAACCCATACACCATTCACCGAGTAATACCCAATTTCTCTTCCCGCTCAACTTTCACTATGAAACCCCAATAGAACCGCACCCGAGGTGCATATAACTGAAAAATCACAACACCTCTCTCAGCAATACAATTCGGAGCCAGCCAAGCCATCTCAAGTTAGAACACGCATCCACATTGGCCTGCGAATAAACTCCTCATCAAGGAAATCCTGAGGTTGTTCCTTCAAATCCTCTAACTCTATCGGTGCCATATGATACGGTGTCCGGCATTAAATCAATACCAAAATCAATAACCTTGCCCGGCAACATGCCCGGCCACAAGAAACACATCCAAAAAAAAGTCCCTCACCACCGGAACCGAATCAATGGTAGGAGCCTCTGTACTGACATTTATCACGAAAGCCCACATAAGAAAGACAATTCTTCCCAACCGTCCGCTGGGTCTTCGAAATATAAAACCACTTCAATAGGACATAATATGTCGAACCTCG